CTGGATTTATCCAATGCCTATAACTGTGTTAGAAGAGATTTGGTATTCAAAAGACTAAGGGAAGAACAAAAATTTAAGAATTTTTCAATGAAAATGAACTGTATGCACTTGAATCGATTAATGATTCTTTATATATTAAGGCTCAATATTAGCTCCCTTCTTATTTGAGATCTAACTTAATTAGTTAATAGAAGACTTATAGAGGGAAGTAAGATTAAAGATGTTGAGTAGAAATTAAGAAGAAAAAATGTTGAGAAAGACCTAACTTTTTATAGTGGACTAAAATATTTGCCTATGCTAACGATGTTGTCATTTCCACTTTTGGCCCTTAAGCTAGTTGAATCTGGCAAATAGATATAATTTTAAGTCAACATATCTAAGTCAAATTATGTGACAAACCTAAAAGAGGTTGAGAAAAAATATGATCTTAAAAAGAATCACTAGATCAAATTGTTTCAAATATTAGGGAGTTAATATCAGCTAGGGTTCTATTGAAAACCATAGGAAATTAATTAAAAAAAGAATTGAATATTTATGTGGTCAATTAGTAAGTCTTAATAGATCGATAATATTCAAATTATTATTATTATTATGATATTTAGACATTATATTATTTGGTTAATCTTTTATAATGAATTTTGTTTTTGTCATTGAATTTTACAATTAAGAAATATAAAAAACCTTAATATTCTAATAGAAGTATCTTCTGAACTAGAAATCAAATTTTATCTACTTCTTATAATATTAAGAGTTGTGATAAAGTAAGAATGAGCGATTAGTTATTAAATCTACTTCATAAATCCATCTGCAAATTAGAAAATTTTAATATTCTAATTAGCTGCCAAAGCGAACATTGTCCTAGTACAATTGAAAAACATGGCATAGAACCATTATTTTTATTAATAAGTAATCTTTGGAAGAAGTTCATACATAGGTTTTTGAATTTTGTCCTTATTTTCTCCTTTCTTTTATATCATATCATATTAATAAATTAAATTAGAACTTTGAATCGTATAATAATTATCAATTAAATTATATATATTATTTTATTATAATACAGAAGAAAATAATCCAATATTGTTTTATTTATTATCTTACATCTCAATTTAATTGTTATTCAAGTAGATATTAAAGTTTTTATTTAAAAGAAATTTATATAATTCATTCTTAAAATGCTTAAAAAAAATAACATGTTTACTTTTCTATTTGTTTAAAAATTAAAGTTTAATGTTAGTTTTCAATTCAATATTTGTAAACTAATGTAAATAATTTCATTGGACAACTGTCTACTTTAATATTGAATAAATTTCAATTTTTTTTTTGAAATAAATATTTTAAATCATTAAATTAATGAATATATTTCTTTCTTGATTTTATGGACTTGTTTATTTGTTTTTAATCATTGTTATTATTAATTAAATAATTTATTAATCTAAAATATTTTTATTCACAATTAATACTCTTTGAAAATTATTTATTTTTAATATAACAAGATTATATTCATTTTCAATTTTTATTATAACAATCATCTAGAATAAAATTGAATTCTTGGAATGATTAGATATAATTAACAATTTCTAAGCATAAATTAATTATTTTTTCAATAAATTTATTTTATTTTAATAGAATTCGATACTTATTAGATGTATTAAAGTAGTAGATGATCAATTTTATTCATATTAATAAAAATAATAATAAAAATCATAACTAAATGAATATTATTACCTCTTAAATATCATAATCACAGTCTGAGATTGAAAATATGGTTTGTAAAATTCATAAATGTGAGATAATTGCTATAGACTTAGAATCATCAGAAAAATCCTAATTATAATACTTATGCTGTAATTGTTTAGTAGAGAAAATGAATAATAATAAAATTTCAACTATTGAATAAACAAAAGATAGAATAAAATCTTTGAAAACTTAAAGGTAAGAAAGTAAGATTAAAGAGATTCAAATCAGGTTGGATTATTTCAAAAAAATACTTGATTAAATTATGGAATTTAAATGTAACCTAGAAAATAGTTTAGAAAAGATTTATAGTCAAATAAAAGCTCAAATTTTTGTTATTTAAAAAGAAAAATAGTCCTTTTTAGAAAACTCATCAATTTAGAATAATTTTTAAGAAGATGTTAAATAACTCTCACAATTCCTTTCAATTGAAACCTAGGAAAATAATTTATAAATTTTGTAAGATAATTCTTTTATAGATGAAATTTTTAAATAATTTGACCTTTTATTTAACAATGCAGTATACTTCTAAACAATAGACACTTTTAAGGCTGCTAAATAAAAAATTTAAGAAATTAATGAAAATATAAAAATTTAATTGAATACATTACGAAATAAAAATAATTAAGTAAAAATTATCTTATTGTTTATAAAACACCTAGCTTAAATAGAATTTGTCCTACACATAATAAGGAAATCATAATGATTGATATAGATAGTAAAAATAAAAAAATAGAAGATAGATTTGTCTGTGTTGATTGCATTAGTAATCATCCTCAATAGTAATTTAGAACAATTGAAGAAGTAAATGATAAATGGAATCATACAAGTAAACAATTAGATTAAATTTTAAATGATTTGAAAATAAAGAGGTAAGAAAAATAAGAGAAATTGAATTAATAGATTGCTATTATGAGACAGAATTTTAATTCATCACTTAATGAAATTAGTGATAAAGTAATAAAAGAATTTTATTAACCTACAAGTAAGATTATTGAAATTGGTAAAATTAAGTAGATATCAATTCAAGATTTAAGTCCTGAAGAATTGATTTAAAATATTAATTACTTGATTCAACAAGAAAAAGAAAATCTAATTTAGGATTCAAATATTGAATATATGAAATCTAAAGATTAACTATTTTAAAAAGAGATGGAAAATCGATTAGAACATTTAAAATAACATAATTAATTAGATATTTAAGAGTCAATAAATATCTTATAAGATTTATAGAGTATTAAAATTTAATTATTTTAGACGAAAATCTTATGAAAGGCATTTTCTTATTATCTTAACAAATTTAGGAGGGTACAAAACTAAATTAAGAATAATTGATTTTTAAAT